GCCTTCCTCTGCCCGACTTGCACTGACCTCCTCCTTTCCCCAATCTCCTTCCTCCCCTTCCTTCCTTTGCCCGATCTCTACCTGAACTCCTGCTTCCGCCCTACTCTCTGCCGCCTTTCCCCTGCCTACTGGCCTCCTCCGCACTTTCTCTTCGACCTCTCACTGGCCTCCGTCCGCCTGGCCGCCTCATTCCCCTTCATCCACCCCCTTCGTTCGCCCGATCTCTGTCTGCCCTCCTTTCCCCAATCTCCTTCCTCCCCTTCCTTCCTCAGCCTGATCACCACCTGACCACCTCCTTCCATTCCTCCCTCCGTTGTACTCCCTACCTGCCCCTTCCTCCCTCAACTGGCGGCCCTCCTTTCGTAACGCCCGACCCAGTGGACGTAAACACTCCATTTGTTATCAAGATCGCTCCATTTCTTTTAAAGATCTCAACACCGTTGCACACGCTCAAGAAGGAGAGAGGGAAAGCAGGAGAGAGAAAAACGCATGTCACACATTTCCTCCTCTCGCTCTTCCTTCCTCGCACCTTCTTTGCCCTTGTCTCTCTTCAACCACCACGTCTTCTGCCTCCTCAAGATCTTCCTCCTCAACATTCTCCCTCGGTCTTTTTTCTTTGGAGCGGCCTTACTATTAACTGCCCTGCACCAGGTATTTCAGGGTATCGATATTTCTTTCCATACTTCACTCTCTTCCTCCCCAAGCCCTACACACACCACACTGAGTCAGCTCTCTCTCTCTCTCTCTCTCTCTCTCTCTCTCTCTCTCTCTCGCGCGCGCGCGCGCGCGCGCCATCCATCCACAACTCTCGCTGTGTGCATCTGCGCGCGACACGCTCGCCCTTATTCACATTGGGAAAAAAAAGTGGCGCTAAGCCTTAACGCAAATTGAGAAAGCTAAGAAAAACGGAATGCACGAAGGTATGGAGGACAGAGGGCCGAGGAAGGTAACGCCACCGGAGGAAGGAGCGCAAAGGCGACGGAGGGAAGAAGGAAGGAGAAAGGGAGGAAGAAGGGAGGGCCGATGATGAGCACCAAAAGCATGTCTGGATGGATTCACGATGAGCACGCATCCATGGTGACCATGTCTGGATGAGCGCGAAAATCACGGATCAATGATGAGCACGTCTGGATGGATTCACGATGAGCACCGAGCATGAAAAGCACGCATCCACGGTGATCACCGGTGGATGGATTCAGGATGAGCACGTCAGGATGGATTCACGATGAGCACGCATCCACGGCAATCGCCGAGCATGAAAAGCACGGATCGATGATGAGTACGAAAAGCACGTATCAACGATGAGCACGAAAAGCACGGATCAATGATGGGCATTAAAAGCACGTATCAACGATGAGCACGAAAAGCACGGATCAATGATGAGCATGAAAAGCATGGATCGCCGATGAGCATGAAAAGCACGTATCCACGATGGCACGAAAAGCACGGATCGACGATGAGCATGAAAAGCACGTATCCACGATG